CTCCTTCTGTTGTTTGTGCTTCCAGGACACTGTAATTGTACCTCTCCGGTGAGGCAGTATTGAGCCGCTGATCATTATGGATAAACAAGGCTGTCCAGCCCCTTGCATGCAGTTACATGTACCAAATGAAAGCCAGACCAAACACACACGTGTCAGACTCCTTGCTTGTACACAGTGATACGATGTCTAATGAAATGTAGGAAAAAACGATCTGTTATGGAAGTGTTTGAGTGACGCTTTAGTGCCGACATTGCTGCAGGAAGTCTGAGTAAGTAGATGGATGACAAATGTACCAGGGAAAAACAAATGTACCAGGGAGAAACAGAACAGACAGCAGAGGTTTGGTCTTTGTTTTCAGGCACTCTAATTGGGCTAGCTGAAAGTCAAGCCATTAAACTCCAAATGGGCTTTACAATAAAATTCCCATTACAAATATAAAGCTTACTCTCAAAGATGATCGCTCTGTACTTTGTGAAGAACTACAGTTGTGTCTGGTTGCGTACTTTAAAATGACTGAAACCAAGTAGCAGGGGTACAGACAAAGCAAAATGGTGAAAACCTACACGTAGGATAGAAATCAGCTCTTGTTGTTAAAAGCCTTCATTCGGGAGGCCAAACAATGTGGCAAAGGAAGGTGTCAGAGAGACTGAGAAGAATAAAAACACCTTCATGTTTCAACTAAGAAAGGCTTTTATACTCGTAATTGTTCAAGGATCTGAATTTGTAAAGCGTACTCTCCAGAGGTGTACATTTCCACCATTTTGTTTCCTGTTTTTTCCCCTTTGAGCACCTGTGGACTTTCAACAGAGGCCCCTAAGCTCTCACCGTACCACTGTTTTTTAAAGATAGAAGTAGACCTGTTTAAATGCCATGATTCCTGTTTTCTCTGTGTTATTCAGCTTGTTGTGAAAAGCTTTGCGTCACCCAGAGTTGTGCAAATATGAAAATTCGGCTGTGCTCACGCTTCTGTTTGCATACATGCTGTAACTGTCTTCTTTGAAAACAGTCGAACATAAATCTGCACACAATATTAATCACTTGAGTTTAAAATAAATATACTCATAACAACGGCAAATAGCGGACAGAATCTGATTATGTGCTACAGACTCGTTTCTAATTCCATTTCACGCACTGTGTTTTAAACTAGGAATAGCCAGGCAACGTGGTTAAGATTAAAAACATTTGCTTTTACACCCTAATCTTTACTTTTGGAGTAAGCCCCATTGCTGCGATGCAGATTTGCAGATGCATATGTTATTTGTTTAAACGCATATTCAGAGAACACAGCAACTCAAGCTCTGATTCGACGGGTTAACAAGGCAAACACGTAAAAGCAAATTGGGGAAACCAAAAGACCAAACAAACACAAGGTTTAAAGCACAGTCTCTGTGATAATGTCAGAATGTCGGATTACTGCTGGTAATTACCATAAAAACCATGTTTTATGAAACAGGTTTGGTTAAGTGTTGGCTCATACAAGTTATTTGCTGTACTTTGGCAGAAAGGTCTTCGATTTAGCAGCAAACCCAATGTGATTTCTGTTTAAATTCATTTGTGTTGTTTGTGGCTTAGTCATAAATGAACCTAATGATGTCAATATTATTATTGCCACACACACACACAGCGTGTTATTTCCCAATCACTCTGTGGGCTATCGGAGCACAGATATTTATGTCACGTGTCTCAATGTGGGAACTGGCACTAAAAAGATATTTCAGTGTGAGAAAAGGGTCATTTTAGTTCATTTTAATCTCATTAAAATGTAAATAATAAACTGATGAGGTGTAACTGTTTCCTTTTTAAAACGTCCTGATGAGTTTGGTAATGAGGCTGGTATTATCCTTTGGGTTTAATGACACTTGGCTAATTATAATTTGGTGTTTTTTTTTCTGTTATAACTTCTGTTATCACAACCAGACATATGGTATCATTTACTGTGGTAACACTAAAGACCACTCGCAGCGCGACGGTCGGCTCCTCCTTTGCTTTTCCTCGCGAACGGTAAATTCGTTGGGCAGTTGTTACAACATGGCGTGGGGTTTTCACAGTGACGTTAAAGAAACTGAGTGGTTGAGCCCCCAGATGAGGTCACAGACGTCTGTACTTAAAGTCGGTGTGTGTCTGGAAATCAAACAGAGGTTTGGAAACATTCACACTATTTACCTGTTGCATAAAGGACAGAGGACAAGGTTGAGTGAGTAATGCTACCAGATTTAGCTCTTGCTTTCCCTATCTTTCTTGTTAGCTGATTTTCATTGTATGCAGAATTTTTGGATTTTAAGTTAATTCAAATCTGATAAATACTTTAGCAAATATTGGCTTAAATAGCCAGGCTTCACTTTTAAGCCTTTCTCAGGAAGCCGTTCTTGTTTGTCTTTTCAGTAGGAACTGAGATACAAAAAGTAAACATGTAATTAATGTTGGGTGTGGATCCTAGCTACTTAATTTGGGGTGATTTTTGTGTGTTTATAAAATAGGCTTAACGGAGCAGGAAGGAAGAATTAAAAAGGCGGTGGAGGGATTTGGGTGTTACTGAAGGTTGGCACGTTTAAAAACAGTTCTACTTTGAGACACACTTGTGGCACCTGATTTGTTCTGCGTGGTTTCATATGCTTGTTTTATATATGTGTGTATATATAGTTGTGTCTCTGTCTTATCCAGGTATTTATTTATAAAATGAAAATGTACTGTTAAAATGCCCGGCGAGGATTAACAGCTTGTCGTACCAAGTCACAGCCAGGCTGACCCGTAAGCTCGCTGTCTGTTGCTAATGATGCAGTCACCTGTCGCTTCACATCACACTGAAACAGGTCTATCTTAACCCTTTAGACATTAACTTGTCACGTCTCAGGATACTGCTGTCAAAAGCACACTGGTGATCAAGTCTTTTCAGCTTTCAGTTTTAAATTGTGCTTTCCACCTCATGCCACGTAACATTTCCATCAGTTCCACACATGCATCAGGTAATAGCAGAGACTACAAGGGATTTAAGTACTGATTTGAACTACCATCGACCAAACATGTTCTCTGCAACATTGCCAAACAGCATCATAAATGATAAATGGCATTACTACAAGTGGGAGTGGATCTACAGTAACTGTATTTGTTTTGACACTGTATGCAAAAGAGGAAATGATATTATCAAGGGAGAGTAACCAGCCAGATGGGGAAAAATATCCACCAGAGGAATTTTTACAGTTGCAAGAGTAATTCTTCTGTTAATACAATTTATACAGAAAATTAATGAATGGCAGATGATCTATCACCGAAACATTGTGAGCAAAAACTGAAAACTATGAGCTCTGTAAAGGTAGATGTTATGGCAGGGCTGTTGTATTGGATTGTATTATGTTGTATATGTACATTAATGTGTATTTTATTTACAAGGTAAAGACACTAAGAGACTGGACAGTATCTAATACAGTCTTGGTAAATGCAATAAAGTCAGTAATTGATAATAATAATAAATAATTATTAGTAATATATCCAATTATTAAATTCTAAATTAAATGTTATATGATTGTAATATTGAAATTCTATAGAAAATAAGAAATGTTCTTTATCTTTATATGTGGTGCTTTATCCACTGGCTTGAATTGGTATTGAAAAGTGGATCGGTGAAAGGCATTCCAAGTAAAATGTCTCGGTAATAGCATACTAAATGACTATTTTAGTGCACAGCAGTCACAGCCACCTCTAAGCACATCATTCTTGCTTCGCAACTAAGTGTCCAGGGACATTTTGAGAAGCCTGTTTTCTCATTTGGAGTGTGGCACAATGGCAAAGTGAGTTACATTTGGAGTAGTTTGTTCATAATCACCACCTCTCTGCGTTGGTGATTATAGACGACTGTAACACCTGCAAAGAGACCAGACGCACGGTCCCAAAGTAGACTTGTATCAGGGGAACAAATGTGACTGCATACAGAAGGAAACACAGAATAGGAGCACTGTATTCAGTGCAGTCCAGTCAACTCTGGGTTACAATAGAGTTAGCACTTTGGATAATGGTCTCAAGAGACTAAAGGCGCAGCTGACACTTCTGGCTCGAAAACAACAGTTTAGTGGCAAAATTGTATCAGCAAACAATTACACCCTGAGCTCAGCTTTGTCTCTGCTCAGCCTGGCTACTGTAGCTATACTATTCTATGATATATTGCTTTGTTTTAAGATTGTGTTTTAAGATGTTTGGGTTTTCTTATGGCTCGGTGATAACATATCAGTCAGGATACTACAAAGAAGTTCACACTCAAATCAGTATATTGTAAATGTGTGCTGTAGTCATTTTTCTCTGACACTTTAGGTGTGTATGTTCTCTCCTTGGCCACAGCCATTCAGCGGCTGCCACTGCTGCCTCAGGCATTTAAAACTCCACCCTCGAGTGGCTACTTTACCTCGTGAGACTCTGCTGTGATCCCCCAGCATCCAGGGCGTAGTCTTGCTTTCCAACCACACTTCTCCACCTCTGCTGCCAACCCAGTATACCTAAGCATTTTCCTTTCGCAAGCTTCATCTACCGTATCCTCCCGTGGGAGTTTAAAAGCCAAAATACGCTGCTGTGTGTCTGACCACAACATCAGGTCTGGCCTTGACGTCCTGCTCGCTGCTTCCTGTGGGATCATCAAACCCCTGGACTTAGCTGGGCTGTAGTGCGCCTGGTCAAAACTGCCGTGCTTCCTCATGGACAAAACAGAATAATATATTATTTAATTTGTTTGGTCTTAACTTCAAAACTTCTGTGTTCAGCTACAGTACATATGAAAATCTGAACTTTCTCACAGAGTTTATTCCTCTATTCCTGTTTCTGTTCTCTAACACCAATAGTTTCCCTGTGGCTCTTGATGTGTATTGTATACAGTCTTCTATTGTGTTAGTTTTATGGTCATGGTGGATCACATGGTGGATCACACGGTGGATCACATGGAGTAATTCAAGGCTTTCTAAACTTTGTAGATCTGTAAACTTGAGTTTTTTCCCTTCTCTTCTTTTGTTTCCCATCAGGTGAGCTGTGACTGTCCCCTTCTTTGTGTGTCTCTGTGCACCTGCATGCACCGTGGACAGCCCCGGCCTGTCAGAGAGGCGCTGTGCTCAGAGACTGTGCTGCACTAGGAGAATCCCATGGCTTCTGGCCCTCCATCTCCCTCTGTAGGCCGCAGGCTCAGACTGCTGGAGTTGCTGTTTGGCGCTTTGTTGGTCTTGCTGGTTTCTGGGCTCGGACCAGTGCTAGGTCAGAAGGTCTACACCAACACATGGGCTGTTCACATACCTGGAGGTCAGGAGGAAGCAGATCTAATTGCAAGCAAACATGGGTTTATCAACCTTGGACATGTAAGTAACAAGCTTGTTATTTCCTGTATTTGCGCTGATATAATCTTTAGATATAATGATAGAGTTCTTGTGATACGAGGGCCGTACGTAGAAATAAAACCAAATAGTTTGACTATGCAAATGTCGGAGTCTTTCGCCTCCTGAAAGGTGCATAAAGGCGTATGAGCTTGCTGCTATTACACACTGTGTGCCCTTGCTGTGTGTCTAATATGTGCCTTGTATTCTATCAATATTCAGATGTGCTCCATTATGATTATTATAAGTTTGTATGATTCTTCAAAAGTTCATTATATTGCGGTTTCGTGTAGGCTTCTCTTTTGCCGTCTGTTTTTTTTGTTTTCCACTTTTTCCATCCAAAGATAAAACACTAGAATCTTTCAAATGTATTAATATTTAAAAAATATTATTTCTCTGATAAGTTATTAGTATGTGGCCTAATGTTGCATATTCAGTGTTTTTTGACAGTGGAGTTGGAAGAAGCAGGGTGGTTTTGTACTGCTCAAACATAAATGTTACAAGAAAAGATCATTTTTCCATCCTGGTTTTTTGCTTGTTGTTGAACTGGTTATAATAATCTAAATAGTCTAAATAGTTTAAATAATCTGAAGCCACAGTGTGAAGCTGGGGACTGATCTGAAAATAACTGAAACTGACAAAGGCTAGACAAAATTCTAATAACTTTCCACCCACATACACAGTGCTTTTTAGTGTTGACAGTCAAGAAGAAGCACATTGGGCAATTGAATAAATAGTGGACAAAACACTGAATGGTAGGTAGCATGTTTAAAGCTATTTCCCCATTATCATGGGGAAATAGCTTTTATATCGCAAAAAACCCCAAACTATTTGCCAGATTTCTGTGGAACGGTGGATAGAGAGACATGGCTATAAACTAGTAGGGAGCGCGAGTTGGTTGTGTGTTAACTTTGGAAGAGCGAGGTGACCTTTAGTTGAGCTGTGAGTGCGCACTAAAACCTGGATGGTCATTTCTCTGTTTAAAAATCATACAGTTCAGACATGCGTCAAATAATCTTATCAAATTGTCAGTGACTAGATCAAAACAGCTAAAATTCCCACATACAACACATTCAGTATCTTTAACAGACTCTATCCAAAAATGTTCCAATTAGGTGCGCATCAAATTATTCTTGTGTATATACAGTATATTCTGAAAGTTTCATAAAACCAGCCTTTGTGTTGAGCCACAAGCCAAAATACTGTTAATATGCAGGAGTTAAGGAGAAATAGGTTTTCAGTCAATTGCCGTTTCCGTCTTAAGGGAGGTTTAAATTATTAAGATCTTATTATGCCCATAGCTTCCCAGGCCCAGTAGGTGTGGGCGATGTACGGATAAACATTTCCTGTATGCTTCAGTGATGTCTTCATCTATTATGACTTCCTGTTTGACCTCAGTGCAAACTAATTAGCCAAGTCATCTTCATTATCGCGTCTCTGACTGAAATTAGTGTAGTCTTCAGTAGGATCTCCTTTTTTTTCTTTTTTTGTCTCTTCAAAAGGCGATTCTTATTGTGCTTAAGTGTTCAACAGTCACTTAACCTGATAGGAGAGGTACAGGTAATTTTAATACTATAACAAAAGTGCTCTTCTGGCTGGTTCCCAGCACATTTTGAGCAATGAGTATCTGTTTTGGTGGGTGTATTGAACTTTGTAACTGTCACAAACTGGATAGATGGGGAAACCTAGCAGATGTTGATGATCTACTCACTGATGATCACTCATCATCTACTTCACATATCATTTTATTTTCAGTGACATTAAACAACGTTTTTGAATCATCTATTCCTCCCAACTAGTTTTCACAGATATTGCTATTCTATAGTAGAGCTGTAATTACAATTTCCAATTTAATACGTAGGCCTTTAATTACAGTAGGTGGGACACAGCAGTAAATAAAGTTTACATACAAACTATAACATAGGAATGTGAGGGTAACAACAAATAAATACAAAGACTAATAGATTGGCGACAAGCAGCTCTTCATGCAGCTGTTGAATTTCATAGTCTCGCCACTTTTCTGTTTTACAGCGCATGGTCTTACTGGGCATGACCAGGAATGTAATTTGTGCTCTGAATAACAGCATGCAGACTAATGAGTAATCCGACACACTTAAATCCTTAAACTATGTATTGCCCATGGACAGTGAGGAATCCAGACAGAGCAATTACACCCGTGTTCTTGCACAAATGGAGACGAGGAGCTGTGTGGTTTGGCTGATCTCAGCAACTTACTTAAAACCATTTTATGATATTTTGAGGGAGGAAAACTATTGTCTGACCAGAGCTAGCTTGACACAGAATTTATGATGGAAAAATGGTAGGGCAGAGGCCTATCTAATGAAGCAGTCTTAATAAAGTTAGCAGGATAAATGCTGAATAAAGCCTTGAACGCTCTCAAATCTGAAACATGGACTCAAGTAAAAACAGATGTTTCTGGTTTTCACTCTAAGCAGGTATTCTTCTTATTAAACCTAAAAGTCAAATCCTTGATCTGGCATTCATTTTTATGCTGGAGAAAAAGTGGGTTAAAATAACCCAGTTGCGACCCACCGCATCGCCAAGGAGATGGAAGCCAAAAAAAGCCTGACCTGACCCGGTATGAGTTCTGTAGAAATAACCATAGAAACCATCTTGTGCTCCTAAGGCATCTAATCATTACCTTTGGCCTAATGTGCACATGTTGGGCACCAAATGAAAAAGTCAGTTTGAAGTATCAAACAGAAATTCATGAGACGGATACCTATTCATTGCCAAAGAGCAAGCATATTATTCCTCTACTTGAGGTCCTGTAAGTGAATGAAAAGCAGAAAGAATGAGCATATGAATTTAGATAAATAATCCTCAGGAGTACCCTGGTTGTGCTGCTCTGGCCTCTGTGCTGCAGCAGTTAGGGGATTAATTGATTAGTCGATTGACAGAAGATTAATTGGCAACAATTTTAATAACCGATTTTGGCAATTTAGGTAATTTTTTTTTAAAGGAACAATTTCAAACTTCTCTGGTTTATCAAATGTGAATGTTGTCTGGTCTCCTTTTTGAACTGGTTGTTGCATAAAATATAACATTTTCACCATTTTCTGACATTTTATGGACTGAATAATTTATTGATTATTTGAAAAAACAACAACAGATTAACCGATAATCAAAATAATCGTTAGTTGCAGCTCTAATTAAGTTGCTTGCTTTAGACACTGACTTCAGGAGGCTTGCCGTAGGGCACACACAGTCTGAGAACTAACAACATGACATCACAGTGATGAACCTTTAAAGTAAATGACACGTTACAGACACGTCTGTTAAGCCCTCGGCAGGTATTGATTCATTCTCTCCATCCATTAACTTTGAAAGGTAAGGTATAACCACAAGTGATGACCACCCTGACTGCATTCCAGTACGTCACTGCTCATTGATTAAAATGAAGCCATTACTTTAGAGCTGGGAACAAACAAATCTGTTAAGCCTGTGTTTTTTGCCTACAGCTGATGGGAAAATGGAGTTTCTTTGTGAGCTATGTGTGGCCAGGCATGGCGAGTCTGAGCTGTGGGGCTGTGCATGGAGCTCTGCGTCTGACTCTGCTGGTGTGTGCAGGTGTTGGAATTAGGCAGAAGAGCTTGAGGGGAGGATCAAAGACTGCCGCTGGGCAGGTTTTACAGCTCTGATGATGGTTATTTTTATTTCACCTTCACTCATTTCCCGCATACCACGGCATCCGTACACCCTGTACCATAAACATGTCAGCTTTCTATGTTCCTCCATCATGACACATGGAGCATGTTGTCATTAGGGTGCGTCTGTGTGTAGCCATTTCTTGACAACAATAATTAAGAACAACACATCAGTCTGCTGTTGCACCATATGTTGCACCTATTGAGTGGATTAGATCCTAATCAGTTTTTACATGATTTTCTTATGTATGAGACAATACAGATTTTCATTAATGTAACCGAACTCCTTAAATATTTTAAAATGCACAATTAATTTTACTGCAACTAATGAGTGTTTTCATTATTGATTTAATCTGCCGATTATTTTCTCTATTCATTGTTTGGTTTACAAAATGATAGAAAATAGTAATACATGCTTGGTACAGTCTCCTAGAGCACACAGTGACATTTTCAAATAGTTTGTTTTGTCTGACCAACAGTCTAAAATCCAAAGATCATCATTTCACTTTAATTTTAAGACCTGGGAAAAATTAACTAAACAATGAAACTAAACAATGAATCGAAACAATAGACAGCAATAGACAACAGATCAGCTTTGACATTAAAATGGTTGGCTAGTTTATCTTGTCTTTACTTTTTCCAAAATGTTTTTAAAACTAAGAACACAGACAAATATGATGCACCTGTCTATATTTGTTCTTTTTTACGGTTGGTTTGGTGTGTTGGGGCCAAAAGTCACTTGAAGTCCATTCCTGTTTCTGTCACTACCAATCACTCAAGGTGAGCTAGCCAGTGTGACAGTGGAGATGGCCTATTGTCAGTGAGGAAAGTTTAAGGCGATGCCGTCTGACAGCAGCAAATCATGTAAAACACTGATGCACTCTAAGTGCACCAACTGTCTCAGTTGAGTTACACGCACTCTCTGCACCATCCCTACTTAGTTGTCATTTGGCTGTAAAACCCCTCCCTTTTTTCTCTTCTCTTCATTGTTAAAGGGGATGCAATAGATGATGCCAGTGAGGAATATCAATATTAATGTATCTGGAATGAAGCAGACTATTTTAAAAGTAAAAGGTTGCCGTGACCAAGTGGTGTTGAAATGGATTACACCTCTCACTCTGACTCCACTTTTAGATTATAGAACCATTTTAGAACAAGGGGAATAATTAAAACTAAGTTAAAGTAATAAAATTAAGAAACGGCTGACTCGCACAGTGGTAAATGGGTATTAACTGCCAACTTGCATCTCAGGATGGTTATTTTCCATTTTAAAGACCTTTTCTAGCCCGTATCATCAGACTTTCACTGCAGTTTTTC